TGCCCATTTTAATAAAAGTCGACTTTTTGTGGACGTGGAATGCGGTTTTCCGTAAATTTTATATCTTCACTAGACACTTCATCTAATTTAATGTGACCGTTTTGTGTATCTAGAAATGTATTTAGCTATGTGGAAAAGCTGAATGACATGGTAAAACTGCGAATCGTTTAGTCTCTAAGAAAACCAATAAGATTTTCGTCGCTTTTTTTTCTGCAAATTGAGTGCAAATTGGGTACTTGACGTTATTTGCAAACACCACAAGAAAAGTGGTTGATGCGGATTTCCTCCGATGCGTTCAGGAGAGCGGAAAAGAATTTCAGTCTTTAAAATAATACAAAGAATGTAAACATGTACACTGGACAGATGCTGGTTACAATTTTGGCGCATACATTTATATTTTTGTTGAGAGGGAAAATCCCAAAGTAGGTTAATTTTGTATTAAGTTTGAACTGGGGTAATTAATTCGGACTAACTATCCCCGGTTCGACCCGGAGCAAATTGCATAGTGTGAACACGGTATTGGTGTCTTGCAAATCCAAAACATGCGTTAGAATTCGTCACTGTTGAGCTGCAGCCCAAATAAAGTGATTTTCTTCATTAGAAATCAGTTCAATAAATCAGTTACCAGTAAGTTGGTATCAGACATATCCAAAAAGTGCTCACATGCCCAAACTAATCATTGTCAATCTGCTGACCAAATATAAAGTCATTCTTAAAAGTGGTTTCTGAGAAAATATTTTTTAAAGTTGACTTTGCCTTAGTTTATTAAGTTTTATTATAGCAACATTGTTTGTAATTTGAAAAGGACAAGGTATAAGGCAAATTGTTGGCCCCCTGAATTCGAAAAATCAAAATCATTTAAGATCTGCTAAATATCTTACGTCTGATGTTCATAAGACATCCGATTATCAATTATCAGTATTTGTATATTTTTGAAACTTGTCTCACAAATTTGTATTAAGGTTTCAAACTTCTTGCTTTTGGTGACAAACTGATAAGACAGCCTCATTTTTAGAACCAGTCATCTATATTAAGGAAGGCGCAACAGCTCTACACATTTTGCTACAAGATGTATTTACAAAGATGCAAATGTGGGTAAATTTCTTTTTTTAGTAAATAAATGCTTTTTGCTCATATATGTACCTATTCTGACAAAAAATAAACGAGAAAATGCCAAAACAGAGGCGAAAGATCTGCTTACCCTTTTGGAGCACCTAAGATCCCTGTTTTTTGTTTGGTTCGTGTTGCTCAGTCTTTAGTTTTCTATGTTCTGTTTTCTATACTGTTGTTTATCTTTTGTTTGTTTTTCTTTTTTTGCCATGGCGTTGTCAGTTTACCTTTCGACTTATGAGTTTTAATGTCCCTTCGGTATCTTTCGCCTCTCTTTATATATCAAATGGACTTTCAAATCTCACGAGTCAGGTGCTCCGACCTAAATATAGATGACAAGGTCTCAAAATGAGGTTATTTTAACAGTTTGTCACCAAATTCAAGCAGTTTGAAACCTTAATTCAAATATGTAAGACAAAACTCAAAAATATCAATACTGATGACGGATAGTTGAATGTCTCATGAACATCAGAAGACAGTTATTTGGTAAATTTAAAATAGTTATAGATTTTAGAAATCAGGGGACCAAAAAATGGCCGTCCTTTTCAAATGACAAATTGTCAATTTCGGCATGCTTATGACGTAAAAGCGACATCACAAGTGGCGTTCCTTCACTTAAATATGCAAATTATATCAGCCTTTTCATTTATCTATACAATTAGCATCATTTTGACATTTCCGAGATCAAATAATAGCTCTTATCATACCTTCTTCTTTACTTTCATATTGTATCATGTGCATACAGAAACGCTGTCCTCTATGTACTATAATGTTTCTGAAATTACCTGTATAAGGTGTTTTTGAGTTTAAAAGCTTCAAAGTTTCGGAAAACAGATATATCAAACATGTGAGTGAACCCAAATGACTGTATTATAAAATAAAAGTTCTTTTAATGTCAACTTTGAGTGAGAACATTATAAGGCAAAAGTATATGGTACCAAATTAAAAACCACCGTGTTCTCAATTTTTGTCTCATCAGTAGTGCTTGGAATCAAATATACATTTATTTTTAATAGAATTAGATAATTACCAAAGCGAAACTTTAAACATCAAAATGCATGCCATTACATTAGCACAAAGTATTCCACTGGCAGAGCTACAGACCAAGTGTAGATCTATGAGCGAAGAATACCAATGTCTGTACTCACGATAAACCTTTCTCAGCATTTACCTTCATCAGATACGCTCGATCCTCATATGTATTTTTGGAGGATAAAAACCTGGTTTTCCTAAATTTTCCATTCGCCATTGCCTGATGGATGTGAGTCCGACCGACACAGAAGTAGTAATTTTAATGAATTGTGCCAAATTTCATTCAGCATGGCACTCACATCAAATCCAAAATTGGACTGGTTGAACCAGCCATTTAGCTATAAAATCAGTTTAATCCACCATTTTCTACATCATAAGGAAATGCCTGTACCAAGTCAGGAATATGATAGTTGATTTCCATTTGTTTGATTTGTTTGAGGTTTTGATTTTGCCATTTGATAAAGGACTTTCCGTTTTGAATTTTCTTTGGAGGTCGGTATTTTTGTTATTTTACTTTTTAGACTGATTTCAACTTGGCATATAAGAGATTTGGAACGTAGGCCCATGAAATCGTGTTGAAAATTTATAATCAAGTGAGTCCGAGGATGGTATCCCTAATTAAGGAGTGAATAAACCTATTTCTGAAAAATGAACTTTAGAATAAATAAGTTATCTCCCTTTAACAAACCAAACTGCAAGAAATTCATGATTGCAATTCGCAATATGATTATCCAAAGTTTGTCTTCTCTAGATCAGGAATAGGCATATTGGAACCAAATATATAGTCAGCAACCCCTTCTGGTAATCGACCAAGAACATGCACTAAAAATCTTGCATCCCATCCTACTAAATATCGATGTTTAGGAAACGTGGCTGTCAGTGCATGGACGTATGCATTAATGACATGGTCAATATCTGGACATGCAACGATAGTTAGCCCTTTTTTGACCGATTCCTTATCTGAAAATGAATTAAACGATATATTTACAGTTTATAGGATTCAGCCTTGACATTAGTTGATTTGAATTTATTTATATATCAGTTTTGTTAATTGCGTTACATTTTTTTCGTCATAAACAGTCGTAAAATACCATAAATGTGTCACAATTTTAAAAGTAATTACTAATTTGCTATATATCTTAGATAACATTTAAAGAGAAAACAAAACACATAAAAAAACTAACAAAAACGAAAAATTGATGCACTGCTTTTTTTTTTATGATAGACAATACGAAGGTTCGGAGTTTTAATATTAGTATGACGTTCATGTAATTATTAGATAAAACATACACAAAATAACTTTTATCTTTAGCCTTTGTATACTAGTACTTGGATTATGTAAATTCTCTTACATTACTTGGGCTTAGCCACAAGAAATCTATTTACATTGTGCAAGTACAGTAACTGATAAAAGAACAAGCCTCCTTAAACAAGAATATTTAGTACATGTCTCGTCTAATTGTGTTTTATGTGTTTGTGTGAATCTATCTAATTAGTATATGTCTAGTCATTTTGATTTTTTATGTGCCTTTTTAATTTTATCTCTTGTTTGTTTCCCATTATAATTGATCATGATAATAGTGGACAGTTGAATAATCATGAACCAGCATGCTTATCTGGCTATCTCATGTCAGAAAATTCTCCATTAATTTTCTCTCTCGATTCATGTTTGTTTATAGTATATTGAGAATTATGTTTAATTATGTAATTTATATACAGATGGTAAACTTTATTTATAACTTGTCTGTGTTTGTGTTCTGTGTCCACTTACATTGTACATTTTCACTTTAAATTTGAAAAAATATAGTAAATGCTTTAAATACAAACATATAATGTCCTTAATTTCTAAATATCACGAGAATATAATTATCAAATTATATCAAAGATTACTTAAAAAAAAGATCCTGACGATACCAAAGGTAGACAAAAACTCATAAGTCAAAGAGATACTGACAAATTATGGCAAAAAACGAAAAGACAAACAACAGCCTACAAAACACCACATAAAAGTTAAGGACTGAACAACACAAACCCCACTAAACGTCGGGGTGATATCAGATGTATAGAGCAAACCCGTTTATATAGGATTATAAAAAATCATTAAATTATGTTTTAAAATCCTATATAATGGTTTTAAGAAACATAATTCAATACTATTTCACTAAATAAACTACTTTTTACAAACTTACACTGTTTAAGAAACCCGGGTCCAAAGTTACTCTGTATATCCATTTGAAGCTTGTCATAGTAAACATCTATAGCGTTACACATGACATCGGGATCTGTAATACGAGTTTTAAAACAGCCAGGTTCAATGATATGAACAGTTATACCTCTTTTGTATAATTCGCGTCTGAAAGACAAGAAACAGAACATAAAGACTCATTGAACCTATATTTCTTAAAATCTTGTCAAAAGGAAAAGATTCATGCTCAACTTTTTTCTTCAAAATTCCGAATGATAAATAAGGTTTTCCTGGACAATTAAATTAATTGTAAGATGGGAAGTTGCCCTTCAAATCGGAGTCATATTAGTATTACTGAATGAGATAATTTGGATTGTCAGTTTGCAGTCAAAACGACATATGCATACTTTCTGTAATATTTCAAACTATAATAATCGTAATTGGAATATAAAAGCACTACTTGGGCTTTTCTATTCACTGTAGGATACGTGTTAAGGAGACGCACGTTCAGTTGTTTCGGATAATCCTAATTATTGCAATCGCGTCACGTCTAACAAGGACATTTGCATCTGTAGGTTTTTAGTCGTATTTTAAACAAGTATAATGTAAATTAGCTGCGCAATTGCGGGAAAGCGAGAGTACATTAAAAGTGCAAGACTAGCTTAAATTTTGATTAATAAAAACTACAAAAATGCAAATTTACTATAAATTCAGGAAGGATATATCGAGAAAAATACTCTTCTGCAAAATTCCTTATTTCATGAAAAACCAAAAAATGATGTTGAGGAAATAGGTCCAAGCTATGTTCGTGTTAATATGTATCAATCGTTTGGTAATATGTCATATCAACTCCGAAAAATCTCGATATGTCCGTCTTATTATGATCCTGTCTTGCATATTTGAAATGTTGCTGACAAAATGTTCAGAAACAAATTATAGATGCATGCATAAAACATTTGTAAAAAAGATCATATTTATATCTTTTTTTTTTTTTTATTTCAATACGATTAATATTTGAGGTCATGTAATTGGAACGTCAAGTACATACAATATACAGTCTTCTCAATTCCTTCAAAATATGAAGTGATTTTTGTTTTTTGTTTTGTTTTTCAACAATGTTATATTAACTCCCCAGTTTGTCCCTAAAATTTAAATTCTGCCTTGCAGATTTTGTGAACTAGCTGATCATTACCATAACTCCCTTTATCCAAATGTATCGGATATAAGCTTTCAAACTTCAAAGTTGCACGTTTGTTTCGTTAAAAATGTTTCCTTTTTTTTATTGGGGGATTCTGGCATGCGCTTTTGCAGTTGTTAATAAAGACATACCTTAGCACATCAGAATATCCCTCGGCAGCGTACTTAGATAAGGCGTATGGACCAGATAATGCAGCCATACGTCCCGCTACACTGGTGATGTTGACAATGCGACCTTTAGACTTTAGAACCAATGGAAGAAAGATACGGCTTGTTTCGATCATTCCTAAAGTATTTATTTCAAATACACTTTTATAGTCTGTTTTGTTTAACCATTCAACCGGAACAGCAGGTCCACTTATTCCAGCATTGTTCACTAATCCCCAGATTCCTTGCAAGACAGAAATGTATTAATATACAAAGGAATGAAACGTTATTATAGTATATAGAAGGCCAATGGCAGCAACACAAGAACAAAAAATCAACTAAATAGACAACAATATGTGAACTTGCAGCCTCTTCTCAATCAAAAGAAAAGTATTAATATTATACATTTAGCTCTTATCGTTCAATGTAAGGCAAGTAATGATTAAATATATACTTATTGTAGTGCTATAGTATTTTAACAATTCTTCTAATAACGGTAGTAATTGTCGTTTTTTCAGGTTCAACTTTGTTTACGCCTTAACTCTAGAAGCGGTGGCACTTTAACTTTTTTTATCACCTTATCTTATTATTTCAGGGTATGCAATCCTTTTCTTCTTTCTCTTTAAATGCATTTATTTATTCGCATGTTGAATATGAACCGTTTAGAAGCATGCTCTTTTCAAATCTGTGGATAACATTTAACAATGTATAAACACATAAGACTTTGAATTTATCGTTGTTTTCACTGAACTACACCTTAACTAAGGTAGTGGTAACACTTAAACGCTTTTAAAGACCACTATGTGTTTTGTTAGATGTATTTCTATTTGTATCTATCTGATGAGTTAAACCTTTTTCAACTGATTTTTATAGTTTGTTCTTATGTTGTACTGTTACACCACTGTCCCAGGTTAGGGGAGGGTTGGGCGCCCGCTTACATGTTTAACCCCGCCATATTCTGTATGTATGTGCCTGTCCCAAGTCAGGAGCCTGTAATTCAGTGGTTGTCGTTTGTTGCTGTGTTACATATTTGTTTTTGGTTTATTATTTTGTACATAAATTAGGCCGTTAGTTTTATCGTTTGAATTGTTTTACATTTGTCATTTCGGGGCCTTTTATTGCTGACTATGCGGTATGGGCTTTGCTCATTGCCGAAGGCCGAACGGTGACCTGTAGTTGTTAATTTCTGTGTCATTTGGTCTCTTGTGAAGAGCTGTCACATTGGCAATCATACTACATCTCCTTTTTTATATCATCTTATTATTTCGGCGTATTCAATCATTTTTCTCTTTAAATATGGCATGGTATTGGTTGCAAAAATTTGATATTTTTCATTTAAATGCAATATTTCTTATTCAATTGGTATATATCTTCATTGAAATGCAATATTTTTTTTATTTGAATTGTATATTTTTACATTTAAATGCAATATTTTTTATTCAGATGGTATAATTTTTCATTCAAATGGTATAATTTTTCATTCAAATGGTATAATTTTTCATTCAAATGGTATAATTTTCGTTCAAATGCAATATTTTTTATTCAGATGGTATAATTTTTCATTCAAATGGTATAATTTTTCATTCAGATGGTATAATTTTTTCATTCAAATGGTATAATTGTTCATTCAAATGGTATAATTTTTCATTCAAATGGTATAATTTTCGTTCAAATGCAATATTTTTTATTCAGATGGTATAATTTTTCATTCAAATGGTATATTTTTTCATTCAAATGGCATAATTTTCGTTCAAATGCAATATTTTTTATTTAGATGGTATAATTTTTCATTCAAATGGTATAATTTTTCATTCAGATGGTATAATTTTTCATTCAAATGGTATAATTTTTCATTCAAATGGTATAATTTTCGTTCAAATGCAATTTGTTTTATTCAATTGGTATAAAATGTCATTTGAATGCAATATTTTGTATTCAATTGGTTTAGTAGTTTTTTTGTTTATATGCAATAATTGCATTATGGGAAATTCTTTGACGTCATAAGGTCAAATTCGCAACAACGTTTGTAATTGGTCGGTAATTGTTTGGATTTCTCCCCTTTCTTTCTAAACTTGAGTGACCAAGAATTAAAAAACGCGTCAGAATATCGCCCCTCTAACTAAATTTGGCGTTCGTGCGAGTTCTTGCACTGGCTGTTAATGCCAATAATGGCCAGGACGAGCAAAAAATGCGAGTGACAAGTAATAATAATTAATTTGACACACAACTTGTTCATGGATAGAAACAGATGCCTGCGTGCATGGCAAAAACACCTCCAATGAAAACCTTTTCTGAAGAAACTCTCCTACAGTCTACACATTGAAATAAAAAAAAAAATACATAGCTAGCCCCCCTTCCCCTTCTAAGTCCAGATACATGTAATCATAACGTTCTTTAGTGCTATATCATTTTTTTACTTTTCTTGATTCTCAGAGACGTTGCAGGAAGGCACACATGAAAAAAGAATAAAAAGCATCCAGGACGTTACAATTATTTGGACTAAGCCCCCTCTTTTTTACTACATGAAAAAAAAATCACCTAATTACGACAGCAGAACCAGAAACCCACAAGTAGAAACATAAGCTGTTATACTCCGGAACTAATTCTTTAATAAAGACACAACAATAGTCCTATGACATAGGACTTCACTATATGAGGCGTGAACTTCATATTTAATACTATCTATAATATGTGCTCTCATGTCTTATGCTGAAATCATTTTACATTTAGGATTCGTTGCTGAGCTTTTTTTTACTGTTCTCGTCTCCGAATCCCTTAAATAGATTTTTTTTCAAAACATATTTTATCTTCAGGACTTTTAAATGATTTACTTTTTAATACTGCATTTGGGAAGGGGGGTATACAAGTTTATTTTGTGACACATTATATAATATAATTAGGTAACCAACAAATTATATGATTGTACGTTTAGCTATTATCTAGACCCGTACAAAATGTATATAATTAGACACATTTAACCGGGGCGGATCCAAAACCTCGGTGTCTAGAGAGGGGGGGGGGGGGGGGGGGGTAGGTTCAAATTTAGATATTTGTATAGAGATGAATATATGCGAGTATTGGCAGTAATGGTTATGGTGTGTGTGTGAGAGTAGGGGTTTCAGATCAAAGATCGTTTCTATAATTCTATATCTTTTAGTTTTTACCATTTCACTCTATTCTTTATCCTTTGATCTCTATTATATTTGTCCTAAACATGCGTGACATATTTGCCACTGGACATAAGGCAACCAAAAGTCAATCAACGTATTTTGTATATTTCATCATTTCTTTATTATGTTATCTATAGGTTTGGTCCCGCCCCTTATCTATTTTTTTGCACATTAGGGACGACATATAAAGTTCAATGTAGGATAAAAAAAAAATAATTCATATAGTTTTTTTCACTGACCCCCTACCCCCGCCACCCCCTTCTTAACTTAATTTGGGAAACATTGATTAACCAATAAGGAAATATATAAAATCGATGTTAATTAAACAAAACTTTCAGCAATTTTAACCCCCCAAAAAAAACTATTTGAATTAACTTTTTTATCCTTCATTGATTTTCTGATGTCGTCCCTTATCCTCTCTATGTAAACCCAATTCATGTCCTGATAAATGGTGACTCATGCATAGCATCATATGTTGTTATTAAAACAAGAAACATATTCATATTAATATAATAATTAATGTATGCTAGGACTTATAGATAGATGTCATTAGTCCCAGGTCATGTAATAAAGTAGGTCTTATAAAAATACAATAGCATTTTAATTTTGATGATTATATATATGTTTATATATTTAATAATGCCATTTTTTGGGAAAAAAAGGTAGGGGGCAAGGCGTTTTTAAAACATATCAATGGGGCGCGTTTTTTTTTTTTTGTTCTTCAGAAGTGAGCCAGAAGAAGTCCATTTCTGTTTTTTTTTTTTTTGCTTTGGGAAGATCTTCTGGCTCTCTTCCACCTCTTTTTTTTTATAGGTTGACGGCAGAGGCACATAACAAACATTGCGTCGCTTAGAAATTAATAAATTTATGAATGCAGATATATTAGAATGTGAGCTGTTTTATAAACGTTTTTATGGTATGACAGCCTTAGTAGGGCATCCCTGTAGGACGATAAACTGGATAAATATAAGAACTACACGGACAATAACAGTTAAGGGACGATTATTTGCTATTCTAGGGAAGGGATTTTGATTGATTGGTGTTAAACGCTACTTTCAACACTATTGGGCTATTCCGTGGTGGTCAGTTTAAATTTATAGATGAAGGATGGGGAAGGGAAGAGAGGGCATTATTATTCATTTCAATCTGTCGCTAATCATGCCTATTTTTCAGTTCTTACCAGGCAACCATATTCATATATGAAATCCTTCTGTCCCCCACCCCAACAAATAAATAAATATCAAATGGTTTTCCTCTTATTTAACACAAGTTTAAATTCATTGATTGTTTGTTGCTAATTTTAACACCCAGTGAAAATTATTTCATGCTTGTTCAGGTAAACACGAGTTTAGAAGTCACGTATATAATATAAAAATGAAGAGATGGAATATGATTGCTAATAAGGCAACTATCCACCGGAGTTCAAATATGAAGTGGATGTAAGCAATTATAGATAAGATAAGATAAGATCAGAAAAAATTATTTTAAGTCGGGTTACATGAAATACTACAAACATAAGCTCTGCAGAGCTTTTTGCCGTCATGTAGACAAATGCTTTTTGTAGACAATCGTAAGGCCTTCAACAATGACAAAAACCTGATACTGTAAAGTCGTCTATAAAAGGCCCGACATGAAAAGTGTGAAGAATGCAAACGAAAAAACTAACAGCCTTATTATACATAACAAAACAATGCACAAAATATCAAATATGAGTCGAGACAGGAACCAACGACAATCACTTAACTACAGGCTCCATCCCTGGGACAGGCAAATAAAGAATATGGCAGGGTGGATATAAAAACGAAGATGTGGTATGATTGCAAATGAGACAACTCTCCACAAGAGATCAAATGACACAGAAATCAACAGCTATGAGTCACCGTATGGCCTTCGACAATAAACAAAGCCTACACCGCATAGTCAGCTATAAAAGGCCCCGCAATCAAAAATGTAAAACAATTCAATCGAGAAAACTAACGGCCGAATTAATGTACAAAAAAATGAACGAAACACAAATATGTATAACAAAGCAACAAACGGCAACCACTGAATTACAGGCTCCTGACTTGGGACAAGCACACACATACAGAATGTGGCGGGGTTAAACATGTTAGCGGGATCCCAATCCTCACCCTAATCTGGGACAGCGGTGTAACAGTACAACAACATGTTTGTGAGCAACCCATCCCGAAGCTGGGATAGTGCTGTAACAGAACAATAAAATAACAACCTGCACAAATCAGCAAATCAACTCAAAAGATCGGTACGAGACACACAAAAAAAACTAACATTAAGACAATAGACACAAAGCACCGACATAAGAGTATTTGCAATTACTGGAAGTTTGCTCAAACCTAATTACAACTGGTACTGAAATAAATCTTGTTCTCCCAGACTGAGTTATCAATCAGTACACAACGCGCGGCAAATGATTTATTAAAAAAAGAAAACAGTCTGAGAAACGTCTGGTTTACGTTGTATATAGATATAAGAAGATGTGGTATGAGTGCCGATGAGACAACTCTCCATCCAAGTCATAATTTGTAAATGTAAATCATTAAAGGTCAACGTACGGTCTTCAACACGGAGCCTTGGCTCAAACCGAACAGCAAGCTATAAAGGGCCCCCAAAAATTTGTAGTGTAAAACCATTCAAACGGGAAAACCAACGGTGTCTAATCTATTTTAAAAAAACGATATACTTGCATATAAATCCATATACAATGAAACGGTTTTTGAAAAGTGGACCGAACGTTTTGACCATCGAAATTTTGCAATAGAAACTCTAGTTATGACCACAAGATTTTAACAGCCAGTGCAGGACTCGCACGAACGTTAGATTTAGTTAGAGGGGCGATATTCTGACGCGTTTTTTAATTCTTGGTCACCCATGTTTAGAAAGAAAGGGGAGAAATCCAAACAATTTCCGACTTGTCACAAACGTTGTTGCAAATTTGACCTTATGACGTCAAAGAATTTCCCATAATGCAATTATTGCATATAACTAAAAAAACTACTATATCAATTGAATAAAAAATATTGCATTCAAATGACATTTTATACCAATTGAATAAAAACTATTGCATTTGAATGAAAATTATACCATTTGAATGAAAAATTATATCATTTGAATGAAAAATTATACCATTTGAATAAAAAATATTGCATTTAAATGAAAAAATATACCATTCAAATAAGAAATATTGCATTTAAATGAAAAATATCCAATTTTGCAACCAATACCATGCCATATTTAAATGCATTTTTGATTCCAATGTTGAATAGGAACCGTTTAGAAGTATGCTCTTTTTATATCTGTGGATAACATATAACAATGTATAAACACATAATAACAATTTTTTGAATATAATTTATCGTTGTTTTTCACTGAACTATCATTCTAAGTACAGCATAATAAATATAGTGCAATACCTGTATTTTGGGGCAAATTCAACTGAACGAATTCTAAAGCTGTTTCGATGCTTTCTGTTTTTGATACGTCAAGAATGACAGGTTTGACTTTCGACGATGTTTCTTTCTTTAATTTCACAAATCCTTCTTCCGTTAGACACCCAGCAAAAACATGAAACCCTAGAACGTCTAACTTCTTTGTGAGAAAATGTCCAAATCCTGAGTCACAGCCTGTTATAATAACATACCGGTTTTCATAGTTACCGATTCTTTGTTTATTTCGAAACCATTTATTTGCCAGCCACAGGAGAATTACTATGGTCACATAAAGCCACATACTGGTAACCTTAGAAGTTAGAACAACAATATTGTTTGCATTTATTTGAAAATCTATAACATACTATATTTTTATAATTTCAAGTATTGAACTAATATAAAATATGTCTAGATCAGAGATTTAGATCTTTTGTCATACACTGTTCGTGTTTCATTAGAGGCAATATGGTGACCATCCGATTTCGCATTACTTAGTATGTAAGATCGATTCTGAAAAATTGTGAATGAATAATATTTACCCTTACGAAAAACAATTTAGGACCTCTAAAGATAAAGTTTGAATTTGAAATCACAAATTTAAACAATCTAGTTCATGGCCTAAAATCGGCATCACGGATTAAATTAGTGATAGCAAACTTGAGGAATCAGCATTATCACAGATTGCTATAATTCGTGATCATTATCGCGAATTGAAAAAATCGTTATCATTAATTGTATAATTCGTTTTTACTAATTAAATCTTTGATAACAAAACGGTTGATTACGAATTAGTTATCACATACTTTTTATTCGTTATCACTGATAAATTCGTTATACCAATTTTGGAAGATCGTTGATATTATACCCTGTCGAGTCAACAAAAGTAAGGGTATAATAAAAGACAAAACTTGGCCCTTGAAATTGCAAAAATAGTTAACTTATTCTAGCTTTTTAAATTATATTTATTTTATCTATATATAAACAGGCTAGTATAATCCAGACACTCTATTTCAGAAAGGTCACTTGCGATGTGTTGAACGCATCTATGCTATCAAACTTGAAATACAGGATACAACAGAAACACTTACGCCTGACGCATATCTTGACTTGCATCTTAAAATTGACAATTTGGGTCGGTTGAAAACAAAACTTTACGACAAAAGAGATGATTTTAGTTTCACAGTTGCGAACTTTCTAGTTCTATGTAGCAAAATTCCAGCAAAGACTTATCACCGGGTTAGTACTTTCATGAGCAACACGACGGGTGCAACGTATGGAGCAGGTTCTGCTTACCCTTCCTAAGCACCTGCGATTACCCACTGTTTTAGTGGGGTTCGTTTTACTCAGTCTTTTTTTTTCTATGTTGCGTTTTGGGTACTGTTGTTTGTCTTGTGTTTTGTTTTTGTTTATTAACGACTTAGAAGTCGAATGTCCTTTTGGTATCTGTCGCCATTCTTTGAAGTATTCGAGCAAAATTTAACATTCCGTGCATTATTTTATACAAAGAAGAAACACCTTTTCCAGAAAAGAGATTTCACACACATTGCCATCTTTGTAAAATTCTGAAGCAAAACTTGTTTTCCTCATATTTTAATACTAACGAAAAGATCTCAAAATCAGGTTATTTTAGCGGTATTTGCTGTTTTGCACTCAATGTAAGATGTCTGAAGCCAAAAAAACAACATCTAAGACAAAATCCAAGAACATTAATTGTGTTGTATGACAGCGTTATGTTTTATTAACAACAAAAGGAAGGACCAAACAAGTGGCATTATCATACCTTCTCCTTTGTGTTTGATGCTTCTTCCCGAAGCATTCGATATAAAGGCGTAAGAGAAAAGACTGGTCGGCATAATCAGAATAATGTGTCCTTGAAAGATAGGGTCGCATGTCTTCCTGTAGATTGTTACCCTGTGAACCAGCACGTTTAAACTCTAAAGCACCAATTAATCCATCCATCTGTCTTTACTTGACAAATCATGATTATTTATATTAAATCAACGAATGAAAAAATGAAAGCATTTCACTAAAGAATGAATAATATTATTGCCACGATTGTTGTAATGCTTCAATTGATTAACATGAAGATACTAAACAAATTACATTAATTAGCAGATTATGTAAAAAAAGAAAAACATGAACAAACACCTTTAAGGAGTACAAGCAGCTTAATTAGCTTCAGTAGAATAAAATTTTCTATAAATAAATGATACTTTACTCACCCTAATATCAACTATATTTATTTACTTTAACAAATATTATCTTTGAGGGTTGAAGAACTATATAGATTTTACTGTGTAAATTTATGAATATGTATTAATGATTAAGATAAATACTAGGGAGAATATACTTTAATGAATAATTGTATTTATTGACACATAAAAGAAGTCATCCAAAGGGCGGGAAGGGGATGGTTGCTGTAATGTATTTCTATACCTCATTTTTTAAACATAAAATAGACTTTTCTTACCTTTTTTCAAGTTTTTACATTCTTTTACGATATAGGGTTAGACAAATTAAATGAACATGTGATTGATAGAATAGGTAATGTTTTAATGAAAGACAGGTGGTATTAACTCATCTGCAAATGTTTAATGTCTGGTTAGGTACCGGTAATGGCTGCACGGTCAATATTTGTTTGCAGGCTGAAATAACGCGACGGATGTAACCCAAGGAGCAGAAATAATCAATGTTCAAAGTGTTGCTACAAATGATGATATATGTCTGACCTCCATGATACTATGATGTTGTCCCCGCTTTCAAGATCCCGAAAAGTATGGTTTAGGTTAGTAAATAACATTACAAGGTTGGATGGAATTAGATACTGACAATTCATCAAACAATGAAAGACTGGTCAAATATGGCGTGACTATTGAAATTAGTCTGCGTAGTGGTAGATAAAAGATAAGAATGAAAAGAAGAATGATCTACTTAATTTGCAAAAACAAACTTGTATTGACTGGTTTAGATACTTAGAATCATCAACACATTAATAATTAAAGTACTAGAATAATTAATATTTCAATTCTTTTTTTTTTATATAGTCATTTTACTACTTTTACATTGAACTTGACATGCTACGTAGCAGTTTCGTCGAAAGGAATTGATGGTAATGAAAAGGAAACAAACGTAAATCAGCGAAGAACTATGCCAGACAAAGGACTGAGCGGAAAAATATTTGTTATTTGATCAAGTCCATGAGGCTATTGCAACCTCCCATAATTTGACATCTGAAAGGCTCCATTAACACTAAGGGGAGGATTTTTCCTTCTGGATATCACAGATGTTTCCCTTTTAACGGTTTGGCAGTAACAGTACACTTCTTGTGTCTCTAACAGGTATCCTCCTGAAAAAAAGGGTTAATTTGATAAAATCACTTAAACAAAAATGATTTGGTTCATCATTTTCGCAAATCACAATGAAAATTTTTCAATATTCAATCCTGTAGCATTTGCTCAATTACTCTTAATACCTGTTTGTAGCGAAACATAATATGCTTATTATTCCGGACCAATTGACTTTACTTTCGGCTTTGGCAGGTAATATTGAATTTAAAAGGTTTTAAAAGTCTAAATATTATATCTTCGTGAATGTAATTCCCTGTTGGTGTGGCTTGCCTTTAGATTTCTGATTACCCTTTTAAATGCAGAAGGGCAAGTATAGTTTTCTTGTTATTTAAAGCCGATCCGTTAACTTCGTACACTTGCAGTATTTTTCTTATTTATTTTTTCCCAATGTTTTCATATTTAGTTTATAACACGAAACACGATTCTGTCTTTAAATTCTGGAAATACGCTGTGATCCATACAATTGAGTTTCTATCGTATTCATAAGGTTTTAAAAAATGTAATCATATAAAATGTGAATAATATATAAATAACACATAGCTGAGAGGGAGATAGAGCAGATTGTTACCCCGAGAAAACATTGTAAACTGAGGCGAAGCCGAGGTTGACAATGTTTTTCAAGGGGTAACAATCTGTCTATCACCTTCTCAGCTATGTGTTATTCAATTTATTATACTGAATGTTTTGTTATTTTTATCTGGAAAAATATTGCAACTTTATATCATGATATACTTTGATAATTACCAACTTTCATTGACATTTCTGTATAAGATAACAGAAATAAAATATTGTCTCATGTACACAACTACCCGACATTTTTTTTTCAAATTTGATACATATTTCATATGAAATGGAGAAAATACAATAAGACAACAGAAATATTTTTTATCAATTCTTTAACAATAGGAAAAACAAAGGTCACATACATTTTGTATATAACTATATATGAAACAATTCAACATAGAATTAAATTTAACTGTCGGTCAGAATAAAATTCAACAAAGACTAAAAATTTAACAGTTACTGTTTAGTTGGTGAAACAATTCAATTTTGAAAATCATTTGTGAATGTTGAAATTGACCAAACTGTTAGTAATATTCGGACATAAATTCATTGTGTGAGTGTTCCACCATGGCTGGACATTGTTCATGGACAGCTGAAAATTTGAAGAAACAGCTGGATGAGGTGAGTTTTCCTTGTTTTGGTTATCAGGAACAGAAACATTTTCCGGCGCAACCGTAATTTCTTCCAATGTGCTTTCGTATGAAAATAAAGCTTCTATTTCAGCTGCACTGAGCCCAAGTAATTGCTGTGTTTCAGGTGTAGTCTCAGTTATATTGTGATCACCTTCAGACTGAAGTTCATGATTAATATTTTGAAGCATATTATTTAAACTGTCAGACATCTCACGTTGCCTGTTTTCGCTTAGTCTCTTAGAATAACTACGGATAGAGGCTTCACTCCGATGTCCACTGGCTTTCATTATGTGCCTAGCTTCTATGCCGGCTTCATCCATTGCAGTAATGGATGTTGCACGTATAGAGTGATTCGTGTACCTTCTAGAAAGTTTAGCCTTCTCGGAATTTTCAGTCATCATTACTGCAAAACTGTTTTTCCCTATAGGAGCTTTACAATACCATGTTGTGTCACTTATATCATAGAAATCCTTTGTGCGCTGCCATATATCATTGAGAGCCGGGTTAAGTTTTTCCAGATACAATTTAAATGATAATAGTGGTCACAGAGGATCACCTACTCTTGCGTACATCATTGCTTAACCGACGGTATCATCAGGGGTAGCTTCATCACGATGATTTTTATCATATTCATATATTTGTTGAAACACATACTCTCTTCTACTAGAATCTGTTTTCATAGCAAATGTTTTTTTTTTGTCACAGATCTCAAGTTTTCTTGGCCTCTCCTGCATAAATAGAACATCATGTCAAACCAT